GCTTGTGTGGTAGGATAGACAGGAGGGGGTCATACCTGTACATAAGTAAAGGGGAAAAGGGGTTTTAACCTAAAAGGTTTCTGAGCCGATGGGCCGGATTGGAGGGTTTCAGCTTCATGTGACAAAATGCCTGTACAATTCAGGGGTAATATGCCAACTTAGGCTCTCCACTGTCTTAGCCTAGTTCCTCTCACCACCTCACCCGAGCCTATGGGGACAACAGTAGTAAACCCCTCGCTGCTGGGATTCCCAGTATGTACTGGCCAGTGGGTGGTCGTCCTTGGTCCTTGGAAACTCCGGAACCTTTGAACCTTTGAACCTTGGAACCTTGGAACCTTCGCTTGTACCCAATTGATACGATCAGATTGCATTTCCAAGCACCAAACTCTGAATCCTCTACTAGTGGCACAACTTGGGGCCAACCAACTTGGCCGTATCTCTTTAAGCTATGCAGCGATGCAACATTGCGTTCCTTTTTCTTCAATTACTTGCATTGGGCGAAATCTGTGGGCTCGATGTAGCTCCACAGGATCATCCGCTTACTTCTTTGAGTACATTTAGGTGCAGTAGCAGCCCATTTGGTATCGGATTTTGTAGATTGCCATCTCCGCGTGCGATACTATGTCGCTCCGCGCCAGATCTGGTTTGACACGGCCATGCATGTAATGCACGCAGCCGGTAGTAGAACAAAGGCCGTTCTAAGACTGCCTGTTTGTGTTGTATGCGTTCCGGGCGTGCATTCTCGAATCGGGACGCGCCAGACATGCGCACGATCATATGGATCAACTTATTACATTGTTCGCACTGCATTCCCATCCAAGCCCACCTCAGTTCAGCCATTTGGGTTATCGGGATGGAGACGCGCTGATAACAACAGCCTTTTCTGTCGCAAATCGCGCTCCCTACATACTCGAGCTGGATAATTCTCTTACGCGCCGCTCAATATTGCAACACTCCAATGCTCTTTGCACTATGGTAGCTCAAAGTATGCAGCCTAGTTCCTGCATTGTGCACGGTTCTACCTAGGCGATGACTATGCACCCTCATGCATGCATGTTTCATGTCACACGCAGCTCGCTAATACAATCTTACGCTGAGAAGTCTACAATCGTTGACAATGGATTGTAGGGGACGACCCAAACAGTTGGTATCTGGTTCATCCTGCTTCTGCATGCCAGTTTGTGTAAAATAAGCACAGTCTCCGCGATGGGTGGTGTGCTCAGTTGACCCATTAACTGTATAGGCTTTCATGTTCCAAACTCCTCGCGAATTATCTTGTTCCTTAATCCGTAAACCTCAAATCTGAAGGATGTATGCTCTCAGAACATACATGACACTAATCGGAATTGCATCCATTTATTCAGCCCAGAGCCAGGCCGTTCGCTGATGTGTGTTTCCTAAGTCGGTTGTAGCTATACCTTCTCTCCATTCAACTTCGGCTCGAGGATCCCAAAACTCTTCAGAATTCCCAATCTTTTATTGCAGTATCGTGGTAACCTTCACTATATGTATATCTATATAGATACGTTTCCATGTATGCGTATGCATACGTTGCATTCGGCGTGCTCCGTGGCTCGTCGTACTCCGCCAAGCTGGGCTCCGAACCTCGTAAGCGACTTGGATAATAAATCTCGGGCCAAACACTCGCCGCGAAACTTGACTCAAGGCGTTTCAAAAATCGACCCACAAACAGTCTCTGGTCGGTTTGAAGAACATATTCTTTTGGTTTCTAGATTCAATCAAGAAGCTAGTCACCCTTGCGCATCAGCCCTACAAGCAATGATACCCGACTGGCTCATGCTATCTTTCTCCTTTCCGACGCCACCGGTTTCAACGTGAGCGTCATCCATAAACAAACCTTGGTCAGCGGATGCTCCAGTTATGATCCCGCAATGGTTGATAATTTCCCCAACATCACAAGCCGCTCCTGGATTTTCTTAGTGCCGGAAAACAACCAGTTTGCCGTTACCTTATGCAGAGAGCAATTTACTTAGTGAACACCCCATGCGAAACTGAGCGACATTCTTATTGGAATTTAAACAACACTTTGGTGGGATAGAACATCCGTCAACGGTGAGGAAATAAACACCGGTACCCTTGAAAGACTCTGGGTGGTGCAAGACACATATTTCGCAGTCATGAGGTATGATCAATAGGTGGCACATTCTGGCGACATCTGCATATATGTTTAAATTGACTCCTCTTCTGTCCCGTTCCCTAACTGTATACGTCAAGCTTCAGCTCCCAGAGTCTAGTTGAAATAAGAATCAAAACTTGATTTCACGTGACCATTGTTTAGAGATCTTTGCGGATGGATGCAAATTCAAGCCTGCATATGAGATATATTGTAAAGACGGTTAGGATTTTGTAACTTATTATTCCCAATGTCGTGCGCTAGCTTTGAAGTGGGAGTTATCTATCAGGCCAACCCAAGCCCACCCCATGTTGGTAGGAACCTAGCAACCTGGATGTTGACAACCCTAGTTGAAATAGTTTTTGTTTCGGGGATTTATTACTCGTTTTTTATGATCTTTGAGACGTTTTTTTCCCCTCCACTTAACCGGGTCATGCACAAGTTATGGCAATACGCCGTCGTTCTTCAGAACTTGCAATAAATGATGTGTGAGCTCGTACTCCTCTACTCTAGTCTTCACGGAGGTAGACGAGGTACTTACGATAAATCCGTGCAGCAATTGAACATGTATTTTGATCTGTTTTTAATCTGTTAAATACCTAATCAACTGGGAGCGAAAAGTGCAAGACGGGTATAATATTTGGATTGGCTTTGCCATTGTCATCATAGCTCGTACATGCCTTTTCATGATGTTGAGTATCTAGATTAGATGAAATCGTTATCCGTTCACTTTCCAGCTGCAAAGATGTTACAGACCTTCAAATAGATATTTCTTTGTCTGTCCACTACTGACTTTGCCTTTCTCGAATAGTTTTTTCCCCGTGGGAAGGTGGCTAATTCTCACTCTCAGATAGCAATAGCATATCTGGCCACTGCTCCGAACGAAAGCTACATCATGCCATGTGTGAGCTCACGTTGGTTATGTTCTCTTTGTACATGGGTAAAAGAAGGCTCCATGCCGCTTCTCTGCTCACATCTTCCTACACTACAGACTTTGACTTAAGAAATTTTGCCACATCTTCCGCCAACACCTTATGAGTTTGGGATGACCTGTGGAAGTTTAGTAAAGGTTTAGTAAATTATCATTATAAATTGTCTTTTAACCATATGGTACTTACATGTGGCCCGAGTTATACCAGAAGTACGTATCAATAGGCTGACAGCCGTATTTTCCCGGGTTCGTCAGTACATCCAGTTGGTTATAACCTGCAACGCAATAAGTGAGGTTAGTGATGCCATATGGCTCTGGGTCATCCATAACGCCATTTAGAAATGTGTTTGCATCGTAGTATAACGTTGTGACATCTGGATGTTCACTCTTGAACGATTCCGTATGATTCAGGAGGATGCTATTCCACCAACCAATCTCTGTAGCGTTGGGGGAAGGGTCTTCCTTGCCCTGATTTGAGAGTGTGCGGTCAAGAGGTGGCAAATTCATAAACAAGAAGTTGTGGTAGCCCGCAGCATAGATAGATTTTACTGATTCCGAAAACATGACATCGATGATATCCTTCCAGAAATCGGGATATGACACATTGGTTAGACTCATCGAGTCACTAATGTCGTTGATTCCAATCCAAATGGCCACGAGAGTTCGTTTCTTGTCTATCGTTTTACTCAAGACGGGCTCCGCGTATGTAAGATACTGGCGAGTCTGATTAACTAGCGGAACGGTGTAGTTGTGGTGAAGTGGCAGGAAGGCTTCTGATACATCGGAGCCGGCAAAGGCGAAATCCCACAATTGGATATCGCAGTCGGAAGGGTAGTACTCGCCATCTTCGACAGCACAACCGGTTAGATATTCTATCCAATTGGTTCCGCCTTCCGCTGTTCCTGTGAAATTCTGTACTATCTTGTCTGTGAACAACTCATGGGGAGTGAATGAGAGGTCGCCTGGCAAAAAGTCCCCAATGAAACTGTAGTTTGCCAACCCTTCAGTTCCTTGAACAAAGGTATAAGAGTCTCCGAAAGCGACCCTACAAGGAGTAATCAGTTATTGCTATCCATTATCCGCCCAGCTGATTCCTCAGGGCTACATACACGTATTTCGTGTTGTCCCAGTTGAAGCTATCATTCGGCTTGGTTAAAGTGCCGCAATCCCCCAACATGATAACCGTAAATATCCCAAGTAAGGTCGCCACACGGAAGAGCATAGTGAATAGTTATTAAAACAAAATCTTCGGTTCAAATTCTTCTTTCCATTTGTTGTAAATCTGTACTAGCTGCGGAGTAATTTGGCCTGATCATATGTTTATACATGTAGTTACGCCAAGCCTCCGCAGCAATGCCCGAGACGATTCATCGGATCTTAAGCCGGTAGTTGATTATCCCGTTCCATAGGTCCATGTATAAAATGCCCATTGGTGGAATTTGTTGGTACGCAGGTGCGAACCTGCACAGGCGTTCCGAGTGGAGGCAGAATTGCATCTCCCCGCAGATGGCATGTATGTTTACCCCAAAACTTTTCCTAGAACTTGAATTTTATCCCATTTAGCCTGGTAGATGTGCAACTTACCTGTGGGGTATAATGCCTGCCTCGGTAGGTCTATTATTCGCGTTCATATATAGACATGAACGTAAAGCTTGAGAGGTTCTCGGAGGGTTCAAGGTCATGCACCTCCCGATCTACCACCGTCACCCAATAATCTACATCGAAGCGGCATGCCAGCTGAATTGAGCACGTATAGGATTCCGAATACAATGCACCTTCTAGGGTTGCCCGTCTGTGGGACTCTAAGCTAAACACAAGGCAACTCTTACACTCAACCATGACTCAACCTGGTGGGTCAAATTACTTAAATGCCCACATATATGATAATAATGAGCAAATCTTCAACAGCTAACCAATTGTGATTGGCTGATTACGTCTCGATTAGTATAGTGGTCAGTATGCCAGCTTGTCATTCGTCGGAATAACTCGCTGGAGACCGGGGTTCAATTCCCCGATCGAGAGAAATTTTTTTCGCTGCTCTTCTTATCTTCGTCAGGAGGGTGCAGGTAAGGTGCGTTAGTACAACTGCAAAGGGCTTCGGTATGAATAGCTCCCTACCCTTTCTCGCTTGCAATAGCCTTTTTTTTTTCTTTTTCTTTAGGGCGGACCCCCTCCGACTTAAACTTTTAGGTGGCGGCGATCCTTAAAGTGCACGTGCGACTTGGCTGTCCATTCGCCGCTCACCGTTGACACTTACACGTTTGCTTAGCCCTATGGCAAATCTCCCTTGGCGCATGGTTAAGCGAGGTGCAGCAGATACTTGGCCAATCAGAGAGCCCTTCTCGAATATCTATCCAGGCAGTCGGGTTCTGGTTGGCCAGTTGGCTGTTTGTGGCCAGGTGCCGATGTTCCAAGTTGATTTGGCGACGACGAGAAAGCTTCCGTGCTGCGCATCCACAACGAGGATTTCTTTTAATGAAGTAACCAGTGGCGTTGATTATGGCATCCCATGTGCTTATTGATATCTGCTATGAGAACAATTTGTCTCATTTTATGCCTGTTTGAGCCACTGTCGTGCATGGAATTTCGACCTCCCAAAAAGTTTACCCCTCCTATCGACTCGACTCACTTATTCGCGGCATCTATGGACTACATGATCCACGACAAATGACCAGCTCTCGTTATGTCGTCAATCCCCAAATCTACCTAGGTAATTCAATACTTGAGGGAAAAGGTGTCTCGTGCCTGCTACCTTCGGTGTTTCGTTGTCCAGCTGGAAATTTCCGTCGAGTCCCTCTTCGCTCTAGAAGAATCGGATTCCTAAGGCAGTTAGGCCGGCACCAGTGTGATCAGTGATCAATAATTCGTGCGAAATATCGCGGTGAGTATTTTTGAGATGCTTGCAATTTTCCAGAGACAAGTAGTTCAAACTATCTTTACTTTCAAGTGAATATTATGTCGCGATTTGGGGATGCGGGACTTTTTTCACCAGAAGTAACCCTTGAACCCAACCGCCAAACAAATCGCCCAGGGCGAGGCAAACAACACGAACCTGTAAACGGGTTCGATAAGCGAGGCTGCATATCGCGGAAAGCACCTGCATCTCGCGCTAGACGTCAAGACTGATCCATGGCCACCCAGGAGCTGGGTTTCAGCCGCAGTGGATTTTGGATAGCCCACAGTGTGCGCCGATCCCATCTTGATAGCATTCTATCATTTCTTGACCTCCCTCAATCCATGCATATATCTTGAATTTCTGTCCGCCACCTCGCCTAAGAGAATCCCATGGCTCCGTCTTGTCAATAGCAACAAGTGGAAATCATCAAATTAGCGAATCTTGCTTCGCGCTTGCCCCTCACCTCACCGTTTCATGACCTCATTACCATAAGTACGTTCCGGCAATTTAGCTATCCCAACGACGGCTGTTGAGTGTATACGGTCGGTACCGTGTTCTTTGTTGCGCATTGCCACCACCCGCTTCTGTAAAGAAAAATTAAAATCAAAAATTCATGCCAGCTGTGGTCTTGATAATTCAAGATCCCATGCGACGTTGCACTGAATAATTAGAGTATGGAATTCAGGGTTACCACTAATACACCATGCTCTCTCTAGTCGATTGCTGATTCTGATCCGTCTACATATTATCAGACAACTAGCTAGTTGCCCAAAATCCGTAGGTCTGTTGGCGCGCGGGCGCAAAGGATGACCAGAGATCTGAATGGCCCAAGTGGCCAGGAAAATCCCGTGACCAGAGGGCCAGGTGAAGAAGAAGAAGACTACGAGCGCGTTGTGCAAAGGATGCTTGAAAGTCAATTTCAAGACTGGCCCAATGAAGCAGGCGTAAGTTAACGTCGCCAACCCCCGCTGCTTTCATCAGTTAACGCTTGTTGATGCCTAGTTTGAGGGTCTCACGGAAATTCAAGGGCCTGTAGAGCTCAAGCTCAGCGGATCGATCCCATCTTGGGCTGCTGGAAGTCTATATCGGACTGGTCCAGGCCTATACAACGTGGAGGACACTCCTGCTGGCACCTTTCGTACTACCCATTGGTTCGACGGAATTGGCCATTCCCATAAATTTGACATCATACCAGATGAGAGTGACTCATGCGCCACCATTCGAGTAGAGTATACTTCAAGGAGACAATCCCAAAAGCTGGTGGAGATGATTCGGAAAACCGGACAACGACATAGCTTCAGCTTCGGCCAGCGCCAAGATCCTTGCATGGGATTATTTGGCAAATTCATGAGCGTCTGGAGAATGCCAATACCTAAACGAAGCTTAGACTCAGATAATGTCTCAGTCGCAGTGCAATGCAACGTTCCTGGCCTGCCTTCCCGCAATGTCCATTCACCTACTAGTTCGGGTCATCGTGCTGGTATCAATAACATCTGGCTCACGACAGATACTAATGCAATGAAGGAGGTTGATCAAGACACCATGGAGCCCATTGGCTTTGCTACACAAGAAGTGCTACATCCCCTCTTAAAAGGTCCACTCAGCTGCGCACACGCGCAACGAGATCCGAACACCGGCGACTTCTTCAACTATAATCTAGAATTCGGGATGACTCCAACCTACAGAATCTTCCGTACAACTGCGCAGGGTGTCACAGACATACTCGCAACAATAGCACACGGCGATGTCAAGCCTGCATATATCCACTCCTTTTTCCTTTCGCCATCATATGTCATTTTCTGTATCCCGTCTACTCATATCGGCAACAACGGCCTGAGAATTCTATGGCAGCGCAACGTGCTCGATGCAATCGAACCGTTTGACGAGACCAAACTGTGCAAGTGGTTCATCGTCGATCGTATTAGCGGCCGAGGAGTTGTTGCGACGTATAGTAGCCCAGCTGGCTTTTTCTTTCACAGTATCAACTCTTTTGAGGAAACAGATGAGTCGACTGGCGACACTCACGTTTTCTGTGACGTGGTAGAGTATCCTACGGCAGATGTGTTGCACAGCTTTGCCATGGATGTTATTTTACAGAATCGCGGTATGACCCAGAATTACTGGGGCAACGAAACTCGCAACCGCAACACGCATGCTAGATTTGCGAGGCACAAATTCCGTATTCCACCCCAGAGAGTCCATCTTGGATCTCAAACTGATACCCCTTTGTACGAGAAGATTTTGGAAATCAAATGTCCGCACATCGGCGAGCTGCCCACCATCAACCCGTTATACGCAACCAAAAGGTACCGATATATCTATAGTTTACCTAATCGCGGCTTCAGCACTCTCCTAGACAGTTTAGCCAAAACGGATATACAAACAGGCACCACAATCTACTGGGACAATCCGAGAGGACATACGCCCGGCGAGGCTGTCTTCGTTCCCCGCCCGAAGGATAAGTCCCATTTAGACCATGCCGAGGATGATGGTATAGTGCTAAGTGTTGTCTTGGATGGAATTAACAAAATCAGCTATCTTGTATGCTTGGATGCTAGAGATATGAAGGAAGTTGGCCGTGCAGAGTGTAGTTGGCCAATTGCCATTGGATTCCATGGTCTGCATGCCCCAGCAGAAACACGGAAAACAATGTCCGAATAAGCCATTCTATAGTTCCACTGCCCTTATTCCACACTCGGACCGAGAAACCATCCTTTCGATAGAAAGCGATACAATGTTCATTTCAAAACAGCCATCACATTTTCTTAAGTAGGGCAAAGAAGGCTAAAGACAATATATCATACAATGCATGAACCAGATTTTCCTTTGTGGAGAAGGGTTGACTGCAAAAGTATCCGACCACCAAATGACAGAATAGGCTGTGCCAGACAAATCATTCACCTTATAGTTGCACACAACAGTGAATAAAACAAGGAACTTATCTTTGGTCGATGAGGTGGAGGAGGTCAGGTAGTATTTGGAAAGTGATGCGAAATGACCTATGAACATTTGAAGCATTTTACACGTAAAGGGCATTCACCTAATGCGCCACTTCTGTAAACGGTGAGTATTTGGGGAGTAGGCTGTCGGATACACGGTGGCTCCGCGTTTCCCCAGTGTCGGAAAATGAGAGCCGGGCAGCGTTCAACCTGGCCATGAAGGACACGCAGAGTTCCTAGCTGCCCCGGGAACTCTATCAACCGACGATCAGAGAGTTAGACCGCAAGTGTACTCAAAATTTGCGCTATGACATATCTTCTTATTGGGCTTGTATTGGGATGGTTGGTAGGATATGAAGCCAGAGCACCAGTATAATCCGACAAATAAAGTAGCAATGTGAAATGACGTCACCAAGGGATATCACGATAATCCAAAGAAATCCTGAACGATCTGGAAAAGGAACAGGGAGACTGAGGCCTCCCCCAGGGGGTAGCCACACTAAAGCAAGGGCAGAAGAGAATCCCCGTGGCACTACTGGGAGCAGGCCTATTTGGTGAAGTCGTACTGATATAACCAACTTCCATCGCCATGAGTTCAGTTTCGTCCCCAGTAGTATCAGAAACATAGTATCAAGTTTGGTCGAAAAGAATCCGTCTGCTCACGCAAAGCAGGAATGGATTGGCGCCGATAATGTGACTAGGGTAGACAAGTGTAATGGACCTGTGACCAATAGTCTACTCAAGACAGGTCAGCACACCAAACCATGCAATATATATTGTCATAAATAGTGTTGTTTTGCCAGGGGGTGGGGGGGAAGCGGGGGTGGAGCCGCTTCTTCTGCTGCGTGCCCCTGGGCGCCACTGCAGTCTGGTGGATAACTATATCCCACTAGTTTAGATCTCGGAGATGTTGACTCGCACATGCTGCCGTTGTCCACTGTGTCCAGATACTTCTACGCAGCCGCTCGCGGACCTACCATGTATATAGTCCCCATGGGGTAGACTGGGCTCTGACTTAAATTCCCTAGGTCTCCAAATCTGACCAAGTGAAAACCTAAGAACAAGTTCAGCATAATGGGTGTAATCGAAGATTGTATCGCGAATGCCAAGTATATAGGGCTCGGATTGGCCACCTTGGCATTCGTCTACACGACCTGGATGTGCATCTACAATATATATTTCCACCC